ATTGACTAGTTACTTCACTTGTCCAGCAGCTGTAAATGCGATTTAGCGCTTGTCTACATGTAGAATAGAAAACCAAATTATATGGAATTGATGTAAATTTTGACACTTGTCAGTGTCATCCCCATACATTTTGATTTCTACTCTCCGTGTAGACAAGCGCTAAAGTGGCGTTTGGCTAAAGGCACTGATAGAAGTTAAATCAAGATCTCTCACTCTATACACAGAATTCCTCAACCAATGATGCAGCAAGAATAACACAAAACAAAGAACCATTGCTCAAAACAGAACAATGGCCGACATAAAACAAAATGGCGGCAAAGACACCTCAAGAACCCGCCCAACAAAATAATAATGATAATAATATCATAAACAGCAAATTGTTTCATAAAAATAATTACAACAACGTCACGCTATTTCAATATGAATTAATTTGGAAACAAAATGAGACGCATCAAGCATTTAATTATGGAAGCTTAGTCTTAATCGCTTACTTTATTGCTAACTCTAAATGGTCTCTGGACAGTCAACAGGGATAATGAATAAAGAGGGCTATACGAAATGCGTTTTATACGTACTTAAGATTTAATAACCACTAAAAGTTGACTATTCATCGACTTGGCGTCTAAAATTAAAGAGCTCGTTGATTTTTATGTTGATGGCTGGTAAAAGGTGTGATGTGTTTGGTATTATTCCTGTTTTCATTGAAAGGGTCGGTTATCACTATATAGTATAAAATAAAATCGCTATCCGCCGTCTGTCTGTCCCTATGTATGCTTAGATCTTTAAAACTTACACAACGGATTTTAACGCGATTTTTTTTATAGATAAAGTGATTCTTAAGCAAGGTTTATATGTATAATACATGCATATTGCACTCGTTCGAAGCCGGGGCAGGTCGCTAGTGCTACTATTAATTGCATTTAAATCGTTACTGAGAGATTCGAAGCTGAATAAAATTGTAGGTAAACAAAGAATTGGCATTAAGATATTTCATCGTTTTCAATGAATATACTCACAAACACTTTCAAACTTAAACGTTTTCTCCGATGCATTTAGGTATAAGCAAATGACCCAAATGACAATATGGACATTAATGTGTCATTGATCGTAATAGGACTAGAACTATAATCGGTCATAAGTAAAACTCATATTAATTGGAAAATATTACTTTTTAATGTGTCTGACTCTTTTAAGTCGCTCGACTGATTTCGGAGTACGACAGGAGCTCATAATCATGAGCAGCGATGACCGACAATGAATTGGTGACGTCAGAAGCCTAACTCGAATCGTTGCATAAAATTAGCATCTATTAAAACAACACATTTACTAACTAATAATAAAGAATATTCCAACAAAGTATTTTGTAAATCCAATCCCTACAAAGATGTCCGAACCCGATCTTACAATTCTTTCTCTTGAAGGTGCCCAAGATTCTCAAAGTGCCGGTAAAATAAAATTTTACGTTCGCATATAAATTCCGTTGTAATAGAAAAATTTACGTCACAAAACTTTATAATACGGAATGTTCGTGTTCTAGGAACAGTCAACGTCTTTATTGGTTAAGATTTTACTATTTAGGTCTTAAGGTAATGGAACTTTTTAAGATTTTATATTTGTGACTACAGAATAGAATCGATTTTGTAACATGGTGATGTCTAACTCGTACGTCCACTTTTAAATTATGAACGTTACATGCGTATTTTACTTAAGAAAATATACAAAAGTGTACTTAAACTGTCAAACACCGCGAGGACACCGGTGACCGCAACCTATTGTTCTTTAATTGTGTCTATAATGACGGTACTTAAAGAGTTAAACTATTGCTATTTACCTGCCTGACTCCCTCGTTGGCCGAGTGGTTGCAAGTGCGACTAGGGCAAGGGGTCTCGGGTTCGATTCCCGGGTCGGGTAAACTGGATTTTTTATGAAAAATCTCAGTAGTAACATGAAGTCTGGAATTGTGGCCGGTATAAATAATAAAAGGCGTGATGGTTTGTTATGTTACTATTGAGTATATAACATCACGCCTTTTATCCCCGGAGAGGTAGGCAGAGGTGCACATTATACCACTGTACAATGTAACACCCACTTTTCACTGTTTATGTTATAAGTCCCATGTAATAGGGGATGAGCCTATTGCCATATTGCCGGGCACAATTCCGGACTCCGTGCTACTACTGAGATTTTTTTTTAAATCCCAGTAGTACGTTGCCCGACCCGGAAATCGAACCCGAGACCCCTTGCCCGGCAGTCGCACTTGCGACCACTATTGAGTATATATACTACTATTTACACTTTTTTTTTTATAACGCGAACGAAATCCTCATGGACTTCCCACGCCGTGGGGACTTTTTTTTTTTTTTTTTTTTTTAAGGGGGGAAAATCATCGAATGACTGCCCCCGCCTGGGTGAGGCGGGAGGGAGTGTCAGACTCTTACTGACTAAAAACCACCCCGTTCCTTCTCCTGCACGTCGAGCCGGAGCCCCGGTTACCCGTTAGGTTCTCCGCGACTCCGAATCGGCATCGGCCCTATTGGGCCCCATCTGTGGTGGTCTGATGGCTCTTTGAGGCGCGCGCGGAACGCGACGCGCCGTACGCTCGGGTCTGTTTCTGGTCGGACGGGGAGCCACCCATGCTCGCCGTCCGCAGGCCCGCGCTTACGGTGGCCGGAGATCGTCCCGCGATCCCCGACGCCCGGTGTGTCCTTCGCGATGGCTGGGTTGCGAGGAGGCAGCGCTTCGCTGCCTCACGCGTCCCGCCTCCTCCTTAGCTAGCATGACTGCTTCGCAAAAGGAGGAGACGGCATCCCAATCCCCCTCGCTCCGCATCATGGCCTGCACTAGGCCCGGACGCGAGAGGTCGCCATCGCCGATCACTTCCCTGAGGACACGGCGGTGCTCAGCCCACGAAGGGCATTCTCCCACCGTGTGTTCCACCGTGTCCTCAGGGCGGTCCTCGCAGTGATGACACCCGGGCGTTTCCTCCCGCCCCATCAGACACAGGTACCTCCCGAAACTGCCATATCCGGTGAGGACCTGCGTCAGGCGGTAGGTGAGGACGCCGTAGCGTCTCTCAAGCCACTCCTCAAAGAGGGGACTTACCGCTGCAATAGCAGCGAGCCCAACGCCGTGGGGACTACGGGGGGGTGTGCCGGACTCTTACCGGCTAAAACCACCGCGGTGTTCCTCCTCTGCCTGTGGCCGTGACCCGGGACGCCCTTGCGGATTCACCGCACCCGGCAGGCCTCGACCTACCACTAAATTGTGGCAGGTCCCGCCACGTAGCAGCCCTCAAAAGCTGCGATTTCCTTCCTCGAGTGGCGCGCGTGAACACACCGCTAACGCCTACTCCCGCCCATACAGCGGACGACTGACTCCCCTAATCAGTCGCCCGCAGGTCTCGCCTATGGAGGTCGCAGATCAGCTATCGCCTCACGGCGTTGACGGCCGGCGCGTCTATGGCGGGAAGGGAGAGAGCTGGACGCCTCCCTCTCCCTTTCAGCCGCCTCCTTTGCCAACATGACACGTTCACAGAAGGAAGCGACTCCATCCCATGCACTCTCACTGTCAACCATAGCTCGCACTACGGTCGGCAATGAGAGATCATTCCCTCCGAGCACTGTAATGAGTTCACGACGCAGCTCTGCCCATGTAGAGCACTCTTCGAGCGTATGCCGCGCCGTATCCTCCAAATTGTCATTACAGTGATGACACGCCGACGTCTGCTCCCGGCCTATACGACACAAGTACTTTCCGAAGCAGCCGTGTCCGGAAAGGATCTGTGTCAACCGGAAGCTTGGGGCACCATGCCCTCTGCTGATCCACGCCTCCATAACTGGACTTACCGCCGCTACTACGGCGTGCCCTGCGCTAGGTTGCGCAAGTCGCATCTTCCACTCTGCCATTGTTTCACGACGTAGTTCTAAGCGTCGTGCCTCAAGAACTCGTGGCGAATATCTCTCGCCTCGGGCAGTCAACTCCCCGCGCCACCTATATAGTGACGCGAGAGCCTTTGCTTCTAGGTCCCAGGGCGGAGTTCCAGCTAGAAGGGTGGCCGCTTCAAAAGAGATCGTGCGGTACCCCCTTATTACTCTGACGGCCATCGCGCGCTGCGGACCTCGCAGCAAAGCAACATTGCGTTCCGTCAGACCGTCTGCCCAAACTGGTGCCCCATAAAGGGCCATCGACCGCACGATCCCCATATACAACCACCGGCAGGAGGAATTAGGGTTTCCCAAATTAGGAAGCAACCGCGAAAGTGCCCCGGCTGCCACCACTACTATTTACACTGATGCAACCCCATTAATCTTTTACAAAATCTTAGATAATACGTATATAATACAGGTATCCAGAAAGAACACATTAAGTTATTTGCAGTTGTTCTTAAGTTATGGTATTTATTGTATTATTATGTCTGTCTTTACTATTCACGGGACATGGTCCAGGTCATTTGGGAGGCGTACAAGGTACCGAAGCCAACTGCGCAGAGGCTCACTTTAGATAACTTTAATTATTATTATTGATTAATCATTACTTTTCAATCAGTTATGTAGTTCATAAAAATGTAGATTACATACACAGAACAAAACATAAAATAATACAAAAGACAAATAACACTAACATATCCTATATCCCAACAGAAAACAATTATCTCACATTAGTCAGCACATGAACCGTACAACAGTGGGTAATGTACTGACAATCAAAACGTTTAACAAAGGCGCAAAAACAAAGTAAATTATGAAAAACCAACTTCAAAAAAAAATCAAGACTACACGGTTGGCGCGGTGGCTGGGCAACCGGCTGCCGTGCCACATGTCGCGGGTTCGATTCCCGCACGGAACAACATTTTGTGTGATCCACAAATTGTTGTTTCGGGTCTGGGTGTCATTGTGTATGTGAACTTGTATGTTTGTAAACGCACCCACGACACAGGAGAAAATCCTAATGTGGGGCGACGTTATATTAAAAAAAAAACCATTAATTTCTTTTTTTAACAGGTGTACATAGTAGGCCACGCGGCTCCAGGGTCGGACTCACGACATCCTTACGATATGTCGGCTGACGCCAACGCTAAATACCTCCGCATGGTCCGACGACACGCCAAGATCATTGCCGGACAGTTCTTCGGACATCTTCATGCTGATACGTTCAGAGTCATTTATGACAATGGTGAGTGTGTATTGCTATATGATTTTGAAACTTAAGTTTATGACTGTTAGATTTTAGATTGGTTAGTGTAAATTAAGGACATAAACTATTTTGCTACGGGTCCGTTGCTTATTAGTTATGTTTTGTATTTACGAGTTACGTACGTAAATATACTGAGAAGATCTCTACAGAATAGCCTATTGACGGCACCACAGATAGCGGCCTATTGGGGCTGATGCCGATACGGAGTCGCGGAAGACTTAACGGGTTGCCGGGGCTCCGGCTCGAAGTGCATGGGTAGGAACTTTGATTTTTAATCAGTAAGAGTCTGACATTCCCTCCCGCGTCAACCGGGTGGCAGAAGTGCCTGTTAACTGACCGATCAGTAGGCTGCGCGACATCGCCGAGACGCCGAGACCGTACACGCGACTCATGAGGAATGAGGAAGAGTCCCTCTATAAAATGAAACTAGTAGAGCTTTTCTCAGTATAATTACGTGAGTAACACATAATTTTCAATATAGTTATTATAATTAGAGCCTCAGCCCTAGACTTCCTAAAAATCAAAACGCAAAAATAAATTCGAACTCGGTATTGCTTACAAAAACATCTTCTTCATACATCGATACATATAAAAAAAAATATCTGACCCAAATTAAACTTCAGGGTAAAAGTTAATTTCGCTTAAATTGGAAATTAAAAGATAACAGACTGTGTCAACCACGTATGTACAGGAAAAGTGGTTTCCATCTTACAAGTGCTTGTATAATTCAATTTTCTGAGTCAACTCAGAACCATTTACTTTTTAAAGGTATCTCTTGGTATGCTCTGTTATTTATTGCTCCTAGCTAAGTTGGGTTGCTTGCAGTCCATTTTTTTATTACTGATGTAAATGTGAGAATTGAATTTGGTTCCTGTTGTAATCTATCACACTAAACAATTATAAATAAAAGAAGGAAGGAGATAGACCGTTTTATGTACTAAGAAATTTTGAAAATTAACTGTTATTTTTTGATTATAAATTGTTACCTTCCTATTAATTGCTTTTCCTTTTTTTTTTTTTAAAAAATAACGTTCTTGTGTCGTGTGTCGTGAGTGCGATTACAAACATATAATTTCACGTACACATAAAACTCAGACTCGAAACAACAATTTGTTTATCATACAAAGAAATGCTCCGTGCGGCAATAGAACCCGCGGCACTTTGCGCGGCAGCACAAAACGCATTGTCATCAAATTATAACAATTATCAATTGTACATACATAGTCATTATGATTTTTATGCAAATCCTTGCCTTTTCAACCAAGTTAGCAAGTTTTTTACCCACAAGCGGAAAATAATATTATTTATTTCCATATCTGCTTATTCTACGGCTAAGTCAGCGTATTTGACATACGCACAACCTCACGTACGTACTTTTATATATCTATACGGATATCGTAGGACACATAAGTAATTTATGTACGTGTCATGGATACGATGTATTGTGACACGTTATATCCTTATATTATTAACGTTCACATCGAAAAAATCGAGAGAAAACCTGGGCTTATAATTTCTAATTATAAGTTAAAATCGCCAACCCGCATTGAGCAAGCGTGGTGATTAATGCTCAAACCTTCACTGGGTGAGAAGAGGCTTTGCTCAGCAGTGGGCAGTAGAGGCTGTTGATGTATGTGTGATCTATCTCACTCGGCCTGTCAGTCAGGCAAGATCGTCATAGGAATTTTAACTGTAACTGCAAAGTATAAGATTTAAAACTCATATTTTATGCACTCTTAATTCTGCAATTCAATCGGCTAAAAAACCAAATTTAACTGAAAACAAAAATAATTAATAATGCATTATTAAAATGACGTATGAAAAGCCGTGAACATCAACGAGAATGTGGTGTTCATTTATCATTTCATTTACAGCCAACAGCCAGCAACAGTCCATACATTCATTAAATAGTGTCAGCGACTGTACACTGATTACTACTGATACTCCCGCGAACAAAAGGCAGCCGATAAAAGTCTCCACATTTATTCTGTTGATATCAATTTAAATTTTATTATTCATTTTCTGGAAATGTTTTAAAAGATGTTGTGTTGTAATTGACGTTGAAATGTTGGTAACTATTGACAGTATTTTTTTTAAGTTATGAAGCATCTGTTGTACAACTTTTCTTAAAATAAGCTTTAAATTTATATTAGCGAATTGAAAGTTAAAATAATAATTCCAGAAGATTACATTGAAAATGTTCAAAAATGACTTTTCAATTTATTATACTACTTGTATATTACAATGCTGGTTTTTGTCTCTGTGTCAACGTTCCATAGTACTAGTAAAATTATCATAACATAACATCACGCCTTTTATCTGCGAAGCGGTAGGTAGAGTTATGCATTATGGCACTTAATGCCACTACAATGTATTTTTTTTTTTTGAAAAACGTCGCCCCACACTAGGATTTTCTCCTGTGTCGTGGGTGCGTTTACAAACATACAAGTTCACATACACAATGACACCCAGACCCGAAACAACAATTTGTGGATCACACAAAGTGTTGTCCCGTGCGGGAATCGAACCCGCGAACGTTGCACGGCAGCCGGTTGCCCAGCCTCCGCACCAACCGTGCAGTCTGTAATGTAACAACCACTTTTCACTACTTATGTTGTTTATGTCCCATCTATTTCACGAATTTCACGAACTCAAACAAACGAACATAAGGTACACATTTTAAAGTTAAAGTAACTGTAAAATAATATTATAATTATATCAGTTGCAATAATAAAAGGATCTTTCATCGAAAAATAAATTTCATATATTTGCTCAAAGCCAACTTCCGAAATATAAACGTAATACCATTTATCGGGCACAAGGATGACATTTTTGGGAACCAATAAATCCCGAAACGGTGTCTGGTAGATGTCATGAAATTTTCACAACGAAATTACTGAATCCGGAGTGAAGTAAAAATGTTTTATTACATTTAAGTTTTATTACATTTTCTAATATTAACATAACATAACATAACATAACGCCTGTTATCCCCGAAGGGGTACGCAGAGGTGCACACAGAGGTAACACCCACTTTTCACTTTTTATGTTATGAGTCCCATGTAATAAGGGGTGATCCTATTGCCATATACCGGGCACATTTTCAGACTCCATGATACTACTGAGATTTTTTTTAAAACCCAGTAATATTTTTTGTATGGGAATCGAACTACAGACCCCTTTCCCGGTAGTCGCACTTACGACCACTCGGCCAATGAGGCAGTCCTTTGTTTCTAATATTATGTCGGGTATAATATACCCTCTTTTTAAAGTACTATTTTTTTATGGCGTAAGCCTGTAAACGACCAGACGGATCACCTGATGGTAAGCAGTCGGCGTCGCCCTTGGATACCTTGAACACCAGAGGCGCTGCAAGTGCGTTAACGGCCTTTTGAGGATGAGGTTTAAGGATCGTTGGGGATTCAGGAATTAGGGAGATTGGGGAAGGGAAGGGGGGTAATTGGGCCTCCGGTAACCTCACTTACACGACGAAACACAAAACAAGCGTTGCTTCACGTCGGCGGTTTTCTGTGTGGTATCACTCCGGTCGAGCCGGCCTATTCGTACCGAAGCATGGCTCTCTTCTCTCTCTTATGAACTAACAGAGTAACTTAGTATGAGAAGCAATGTATGAGCGTTTTCCATTTTTAATATTTCAAACAGGTCAAGCCTATCCTAATAAAAGGCAATTTTATTGGGTTTTACATTTACAAGGTATCGTAACTACAAATAAAGGCTGAAATTATGTCTAATGATGATTATAGACTCATTATAATTAAATGGGACTACCTAATAACATAATTATTACTCGAGTCATACCTATCATTACTAAAAACTATTCGTTAAAAACCTAAAATTTATTTTCTTTTTTATACAACAAACTTATCAGCATAGTCACGCTGATAAGTTTGTTGTCTTGATCTTTTATCTTATAATTTAGAACTATTGCGTCGTGTTTCGTCGTGTGAGTGAGGTTACCGGAGGCCCAATTACCCTCCCCTTCCCCAATCTCCCCAATCCCTGAATCCACAACGATCCAAAAACTCCTGATCCCCAAAAGACCGGTAACGCACTTGTAACGGTTCTGGTGTTCCAGGTGTCCATGGGCGATGCCGATTGCTTACCATCAGGTCATCCGTCTGCTCGTTTACCGGCTTATGCCATAAAAAAAACATGTTCACACTCCCACACGTTCACGACCCTGCGCCAATGTCGCATTGACATTGGTTATCACGTGCGCCGCCATCTTGCTTTGCGACATGGTGCATGGTTGTAAATGAGTGCGAGTGTAAGTGTGTTGTACCCTAATGCCATAATGTTAAAGTTTTTTTTCATGTAACGGTCTCCTTCTTGATTTAATACCTTTTGTTTCTATTGTTTAGATCGACCAGTATCCTGGACGTTTATGGCTCCCTCTGTGAGTCCACATCGTGATCCAGCTGATTCATCAAACCCTGGACTCAGGCTTTACAAGTTTGACACGAATACGGGGAAGGTAATAAATTATTTATTAATTGTTTTTAGTTGTAAAGTTGTTCGACGAGGGATTGTTAAAACACTAACCTCAATATGTTTTGAATCTTTTGTTTGAAACTTATAATACCTATCAATAAAATATGTGTTGTAACATCTGCCAATACCTACATGGTTCGTTACTACTACCAGTCATCTGCTAGGAAGGCAGATCCTTATAAGTAAAACACGCGGGTCTGAAAATTGGCATTCTGGTGAATATTAAAATTGAAAAGTAGAAATACTGCGCATTCCGATTGCATTGCAGAACTTTGCGAGTGATCTATTATTCTACTGATTAAAGAATATACATAAACGCACTATTATTTTTTTAATTTGTTAGTTAAAGCAATAATAACAACACAAACTTAATTCCTTAGGTGTTAGACTACACCCAATACTTCTTGGACCTGGCGGCAGCCAATAGAAATCTAGCAGAATGGACGGCGGAGTACAACCTCACACAGTACTACGGACTGCATGAAGTATCCGCCATGTCTCTGCACAACCTGGCTGATAAGCTGCAGATAGGCACGCCGCATGAGACCAATATATTTCACAAGTAAGTCAAAATTTATTTATTAATTTCTTAGCTTGTAATAAGACAGTGTAATTAACTTAAACAGCATTGCAACAGTGTCGTTTTTGGAATAAACGGATTTTATTGTGTTTTGGCAAGGACGTTAAAAAAAGCATATATAATGCCACTTATGCCGCAATTTAAATTTTAATGTGAGACAATACTTATTAATAGAATACTATGAAGTACAATTTAGATTTACTAAGTTTTGGTCTAAGTATGGTGAAGTAAGACTTTGTATCCAAATTCACGTAAAATACAATATATGATACACATAAAGTGAAGCAGTCGGGTAAAAAAAATTATATATGAAGACCAAAGAATAGGCTTGACTCCAAAGAAGAAAATTCTGACGGAGACAAGAGGTACCTAATTTATAAGTCTTTAAAGGAGAATTTAACATACTGTTTCTTTTCCACCAGGTACTTACGAGCCTATCGCGTCCGGCACGAAAGCTCAGAATCGTGTGATGGTGCTTGTGCCCATCAACACTTCTGCGCTATAACATGCTTAGAGCACGTCGCTTACCGTCAGTGCGTGGAAGCAGCCGCAAGCGCACTGGCCGCTGCCGGCGACTCAGCCCCGATGACATTACCACTCTACACAACATTACTGATTTTAATCTCTATCATCATTGTAATTGGGTAGATTTTTGTATCTCCGTTTACATTTTATAAGGTCCCTTTTTCAGTATTCTTTGTGAACACAATGTCGCCTAAAGGTATGCTTCGATATTATCATTTTGTTTCGACACTTTTGTCTTGTAAATACAATATTATTTATCTACATACGAAATAATTGATAAATGGGACGAACGTATGCGAATGATTGATTATACACGTTTCTGTATGGAGCTGTGAAATGTAGCAGTAAACTGAACGTTTTTTGGAAAAAAATGGTTCAAAGAGAATTCAAATTACACAAATTTTTGCCGAGGCACGTGCTTCAAACATGTGACAGGGATCGCAGTGCTAGCCGGGAGCGTGTTCGAGTTCGTTCAATCGTTTAGTAAAATTGGTCTATTGTTTTGAAATGAGTTTTTAGGTAAACATTTAAAAAATAATTGAAATAATAATTGTTTAACCTTAAATTTTTATTTTTACGACTTATAAGTTTAATTACAGTAATAGTATAATTTTTCAAGCTCATAATCGAACTTTACCTTTGACCTGTAAATATTATTGTGCTTCAAAAGTATGAATAGTTTATAAACTAAGGGGGTAAGTAGGTTTATATTGAGCAGTGTATTGAGATAGCTCAGACGGCATTTGTGATAACGCTTGATGATACGTGAAGTGCTTAGAATAGTAAAACTTTTATTACTAAAAATAATTGTATAAAATATGCTTTAGACATTCTAGTCTTATAGATTAAACATTAATTATATTACAAAAAATAAATAGACAAAAAATTAATGTTGTAAAAAATTCGAGACTGTAAATTATAAAAAATGAAATAAATTGTTCGGATACACCTCTGAAATTATATAAATTAAACATTAGTAATCCAGAAATTAATAGGAATGGTCGTTTGATATTCAATTTGTATTAATTTAGCAATGTTTTGTAACACACAAACATTTGTATTATTAAAGTATGCTTGCTTTCGATGTAAAATTGGTGTACTTTAACTGTAAATATTAAGTTTAGTTAGTAGGATTTTTATAAAGTCATTTAAAAGTTACAGTCGACCTATTAATTAGTATAAAATATTCTAGAATTATAAATTGAAAGTTAGTTTGAAAAACTGGACTAATTTAATTAAAAATTTTCCTTGAATACTTCGTTCTTGCATAATTGGACTTGGCTTTGTCAAGGCGAAAACAATTCGAAGTTTATTTGTTTTAGGAACTTTACTTTTATTGATAAACACACTGTTTGTTTTAATTATATTTTCGTATATAAGAAGTCATGTTTAAATACAACACATAAATAGGTTGTTTCGTAGTCTTTATTTTATTAGCATTTAGGTGTTTTGTCTTTTTAAGACATTTGACTTTATTGACAGATTTTTGATTATGTTGTTGATAAAGTATGTTTACGTAATTTTATATTAAGTACAATATTTTTCAAATTATTACGGGCTATTAGTTTTTTATTATTTCATTATAAACTGTAATAAAATCGAAACCGAACATTTATTACATAGGTAAATCTGAAAACATTTTGAATTCATTAATAAATTATTAAAAATAAAAACTAATTAAAATTTAAATCGCTGTACATAGATACATGACTAAAATTGTAATTAATTTAATTTTGAAATTGTAAATGAGGAACAACTAGTGTATAAGTGAAATACTTAATACTTATCGAATTGCTTAATTTTTTTTTTCATTTATTATTAAATTCATCTGAAAATACAAATTCGACATTATTCCTCAAAAAAAAAAACAGTTGAGTGCAAACTTATAATAATATTTATAAATTGAACTCAAAATTTACATTTATAAAAATAGTAAGTATAAAAAATAAATGATTTTATAATATTACAATCCGTATCGTACCAGATTTAAAATATGAATATTGTATAATATTTATAAAAATATTGCATTCATTTGGTAACAGGTTTGTGTAGCGAAATAAAATATTGTTTCATTTGCTAATAATTATATTGATATTCCCGTAATTGTATCGACTGGATGTTTCAATTAATTTTTAATAAAGAATTGTAATCAAGACTCTTGTTTTTTTTAATTATTCTTTAGCTCTAACTTCTTGCACTGATTTAATTGTCATTGCTTACTTTATGCCTTTTTATTACGTACAGCTTGAAACTAGAGGTATAAGTACTTTTTGTGGCATAAGCCGGTAATCGAGCAGACGGATCACCTGATGGTAAGCAATCGGCGTCGCCCATGGAACCTGGAACACCAGAGGCGTTACAAAAGTGTTACCGGCCTTTTGAGGATTAGGAATTAGGATTGTTCGGGATTCTTGGATTGGGGAGATTGTGGACGGGGGTTATTCACCTCACTCACACGACGAAACACAACGCAAGCGTTGTTTCAAGTCGGTTTTTTGTGAGGCTGTGGTATCACTTCGGTCGAGCCGGCCCATTCGTGCTGATGCATGGCTCTCTCGCAGGTACTTGCACTTGTTTAAATGTCATTGCATACGTTATGCCTTTTTATCATTGTCAGCATGAAACTGCAAGTATGAACTGTAATAAAAAGTAAGTATATAATAAAGATAAAATAAAAGACACTTAATAAAGAATTAAAAATAGTAATATTGATCCTTCAAAGTTATTTGTGTTCACGCCTAAACGTATCGTCTTTCTTCACAATTAAGTCTATCAACATGTTTTTTCGGAGTTATAATAGTTGTCAAGAAATCATGCAAAAATAAACAAAGTCACCATGAATACAAAGTCCAACAGTATGTATAAGAACTTCTACCAATATATATCTATTTTTCGAAATAAACACACAATAACCCTTCCTACCTATTTGAAAAATCGAAAATTTTTCACCACATCACATTGCTTCAAGCAAGCTCCATACCAACAATAATTCAGTCCGTGCGTACCCTGGCATGATGCGAGCTACGTGACGTCACTATATCTGAGCGGATTAACTCTACCCTGGAATTGCGGGAACAGTAATACATAGTACTTACGTCATCATTTTATGTACGTTTAGGATTTAAACGAGTATTTTTAGCAATCAATCAAGTCTGATAACATCTTCAATGGAATTATAGATAAGTTTTTTGTCGGGAAGTGCTCTCAAATACGAGACATTGAACAAACGAACGACTCATTTAATAAAGTATTTTCGAGTTTTTCTAGAAAATAATTGCAATGCTTAGTAGAGGTATAGCATAATACATGAATAGCATAATAATTATTTTCCAAAATTATAAAATGCCTATTTAGAACAAATTAATGCTTTACTAAAATCAATTGCGTTAATATAACTTGCATCATGTATACTCATTACAATGTGAACTCTGACCGGGGGAATCAGACGTCCGCTATATAGGCGGGAGTAGGCGTTAGCGTAGTATTCCACGCGCGCTGCTCGAAGAAGGGAAGCAGCCTCCTAGGGCCGCTAGGGTGGCGGGACCTGCCGCAAACATAGCGGTAGGTCGAGGCCTGCCGGGTGTGGTGATTCCGTAACGGCAACCCAGATCATGGTCACAGTCAGTGAAGGAACACCGCGGTGGTTTTTAGCCGGAAAGAGTCCGGCACTCCCCCCCGTCGTCCCCACAACGTAGGAAATCTATGAAGATTTCAATCGAGATAGAAAAAAAAATTACAATGTAAATTAATTTTTCTGTGTGTGCAAAGAAATATAAAATAAATAAATATACTCAAAGACACCATAGGAAAATCCATCAAATCCAACATTAGCTTATCGCCCTCAAAAGCAGATGTTTTAATCGCAGTAATCTAACACATTTGTTCGCTTATACACTGAAATGAATCTGACAGAAAACTTGATCAAGTTGGCGATACACCGTATATTATTAAAGGGTATCACGTTTAGCATAAACAAGTGGTATATGTATCTTGACATGCAAATTTATGCTAAGTACAAAAGTCGATACTCGGTCTCTTGATAAAATGGGAACATCTTGTGAGCTATGTATCTAAGTACATTATGCTCTGCGACACTCAACAGCTGTCTGCAGTAAAATTTTTGAAGGAAAGGAAGGAAGGAAACATTTCTGGTCTACTGGATTTTCCTGTGACATCAACTATAATAAGGATGTTAAGTCAATTGTATTTATAGAACAAGCCGTTAAATGAGCAGATGAACCACCTGATGGTAAGCATTCGGCACCGCCCATGGACACAAGATAGACTTACCTTTTGAGAATTAAGAATTTGACGATTGCTGGGGATTTGGGGATTGGGGAGTTTGCTGCATACTACCTAGTGCTATCTTAGTTAATGACACCATCAACTTATCTTCAAATATCCTCATCAAAATGAATGAAGCGCATCAAAGACCACAACCAACATATTATAAAAGGAGATTAATTTTCATCTCAAGGCTGAAACAAACTAAACTTACTGTTTTTAATGTACAACAGACATCTTGCTTCGTATATAATCTATGTATACTCGAACCCAAGACAATGCTGTAAGCACATTTAGCTTGTAACAGCTGACAGGCCATTAATTATCTGATAAGAGTTCAAATAGCCTTCGAACTGTTTGTTTTAATATTTTTTAAACGAGAAATATCGGTTTTATGGTAAAATTACATCCTGCCAGTGGTTTTCCGAACTTTATTAGGATAAAATTAGCCATATGGTATATAAAACCGTATTATGTATGTCATTTATGCCTATTAGTCTGAATTGTATTTAAGTAAAACTCCTTCGGTGTTAACTGACAATCAGGTAATTCGTCTACTTAACTATATATCTTCAATAATATAAAAAATAGTGCCCATCCAACTAATTACAAACTCAAAGTCTAAGTATTTATTTCATTTAACACATTAAACGCCATGGGAGTCACCGGTGACCAACGTTAGCGGAGGATTTACCTTCAACAGTTTTTTAGCAGCAGCAGCAGGCAGCCAAAACCTCAAGCACGAAGCGCTTCGCGTCAAGTTTCCTAAGCTACTGCTACTGCTAAGGAGTGGAATTCTTTACCAGACTCTGTGTTTTCTGAAGAGTATAACTTGGGTG